ACACACACACACACACACACACACACACACACACACACACACACACACTTATGCAATTACAACCATTTGCATTCATGAGCAGGAACTCCTCCATTGCCTTTAATAGCCCTACACTTGCGGAGATTCATCGAGAACGTGTCAGCCGAAGAGGTGTCGTGAAAACCTATAACTTATGGTGATCTCATGTGCCCTGCTTGCGCTCGCTTCAAATGCCATTCCATGCGAAACTGATACTCATGTATGTAAGCTTGAATATGTAGAGGGTGCATTTTACAGATAACTGCTCCATGCGTAGCCCACTTTGCTGCTTCTTTGGAAGATGAATTCACATTGCAGAAGGTGTACTTCTCACTTCTGATGGTGGCCATGCAAGGCAAAAACCATAGCAAAATCCACTCTCTCATAAGCTCCAGATTAACCTGCAAGCCTGGGCACGTGCGCTTTGCCCTCATTTGGTAGAAATCACTGGAAAGCAACACAAAACTATTCAAATCGCAAGGACTGCGACAGAAAAGCTGTTATGGTGTGTGTCTGGGACTGACCAAGTGAAGTTCAATGCTGATAATCAATAAGAAGATGCTAAGGGCCGGTCAGTTCGATGATGATATCTCAAGGCTGTCACGCTTTTTAGGAGACAGAAAAAAAGAGGAAAAAGAAGATGCGAAGGGATCAGTTCGATCTTGTATGCATGCAATGAAGATGCTCACTAAATGCAGTGTCTAATCAATCGTGAATACAATGAATACGTGATAATCGGCCCATAGGGAAAATGGCTTACATCTTGACATGAGATGCTTATCATACTGCTATTGCAACAGTATTCCAATAGCGAGCTTTCAACCTCTCTGTAGACAATGTCTAACCTGGTCTATTTATCTATCTATCTGTCTATCTGTCTATCTATCTGTCTATCTATCTATCTATCTATCTATCTATCTATCTATCTAGCTAGCTCCTTCTCTCTCTCTCTCTCTCTCTCTCTCTCTCTCTCTCTCTCTCTCTCTCTCTCCCTCTCTCTCTCTCTATGTATGTATCTATGTACATATGCACCTATGTATCTATCTATTCCTGAACTCATCCAAGCAGCACGTCACTTGCTGTCCTGAGATCAGATTGTGGAAAATACATAGAAACGAATTGGAGGTTAACCAGAGACTCAACTAGTATGTATATGGATTACCTGAGAGGGTGAAGAGAATCCGCAAGTAGACGCAGTGACAATAAATTTCACAGGCAGAACCTCTGGACAGCTAGACTCTGAGATTCTTTCTTCCTCAATTCAGCTGTCGGTGAATGCCAACTACAGGCACTACATGCGGGCGGACATCAGTTCGCACTTCTGAGGTTTTCCCCCAGAACTCCAAAAATGCCAAATGGTCCAATTCCCACAAAGCCTTGGCCTGAATCCCAGAGCTTGAAGCATACCCCTCGAAAAAACCCAATTTCTATGGAGGCTTTCACCGTAACCGGTCCCTCTCTGAGTACAGGTGCTGTGCAAACAGCACTGTAGCTAACAGAACGTGGGCCGTGGATTCATCTCCATCTAAGGAAGCCGTGAAGGAAGCACATACTCAGCACCAGTACTACTCATCTTATCAGGAAAATAGGTACAGCCGTCAGTTTGAGATTCTCTACCCCATTCCGATGTGCGGTAGACATAAGCAATGGTGCAGATTCGCTGTTTGCAGGTAAAGCTATTCATCAGCCATCACTTAGGCTGCTGTTGCAAGTGATCTGTCTAATCAGCATGGGATGTACAGAGGATGGGAATACTATTGCATGCCTGTATTATGCCCATAGCATGCATAGAGAGGTCGGGTAGCAGTCTTCGACTTACCTAAACTGACGAACTATAAGGTAACAGCAGTCGCCCCCCAAAAATGTTGAGGTAGGTAAGGACTTAGAACTTGGGACAGAGAAGACATCGGCTTATCGTTTTTTCTGGCTCTGGGCGCTGGACTCCTGATGTATTGTCCGCACGACGCCTGTTGTAGATCAGCCAATGGAAGAAACGCGCCCATTCATCCCTTGTGTATCCATTCCCTTCAGAAGAAACCTGCAGCAATGGTGAAAAAAACCATGTCAGAGACAATGACAGGGTGAAAAAAGCCATGTCAGAGACAACGACGTGGACACGCAAAGTAATGAACATTCTGAAATTCCACTTTAGTGTCTTCCTCTATCTAGAAATTCCACAACGTCCTCTGTTTGGAGGTATCTCTATCTCCTCTCCAAGCATCCACCAATCATTCATCTTCCACTTTAACGCAGGTGTATACCTGTGTTAAAGTGTGGTTGCCCGTATTGTCGATCTGTCAGCACTCACTTTGAGTCTTCCAGGCTGCAAAGTAGATTGTCTTCCAGCGTGCCTGCGTCTCTTGACATGCCACACTGCCTCCAACCGCGCCACTCTGTCTCCCTTCCTGTCTAGGCCTTGTTTGTGTTTGCATGTGCATTGTGCATGCATGTGGCTCTTGTCGAGTCTGTTGCCTCTGTATTATTTTTGTGGACGTCTGTAACACCTCTCTCTCTCTCTCTCTCTCTCTCTCTCTCTCTCTCTCTCTCTCTCTCTCTCTCTCTCTCTCTCTC